TTTATTTATGTGTTGATAATTATTGCCAAAAACATGTACCACTTTGTTGATGGTGCGGATGGCCAGGTAAGCCTCCCATCAATTTGCCTGCAAGTTTCGTGTTCCTGAGCTTCCATTAGGGCCAATTTATCCTGGGTGAGGGACACAGAATCGACCTGTGTGCCTGGCTTATCTGAGAAGAATGGTATTCCATTGGAGATGCTTTTGTGGCATACATTTTTCATTTGATGGGCATAAGTCAAACTCGGCTTTCTGGCTGCTCTTTTATATCAGCTGCAGTATGAATGTTTTGTTTGGCCTACAGCAGTCATGGTCTCATTCTGTCATACGGTTCTTTTCTTGCACGAAGATTAACATCATGTGTTTTTTTTAATTGAAAATTGCCCTATGTGGTATACTTATCCTGTAAGCATGTGCCAGACTATCTATTTCTTTCTTTGTGTATCATCAGCATTTGGCAAGCTAACATTTTAGATGACAGTAACACATTTACACAGTCCTTTTTTTGGCTTCTTACCCTCTGGTCTCTCTTGTTAGGATGACTGGTTTCCTGTTCTGATTTATGCTCTCTAGGATGTATTGTAGTTTTGAGTGTGCTACTACATTTTGGAAGTTCTCACTTGAAAGTTAAATGTGTGTTTTGTTGTTGTGGAGATGATAATAAAAAGAGCACAGGGAAATCTTAACAGGCATGTAGTATTTCAAGAGGGATTGCATCTAAGTTATACTGGAATTCAGACCAGTGTCCTCTTCATAAAAGTGAGATCTGTGCCCACGCATGAATTATTCTGGCTAACGTCAATACTTTTTTCGTGCTCATACCGCAGGTGCGTGGTGTAATGGAAAAGTACCCCCCATACCAGTCTATTTTTGCCAAGATATCATATGGCGAAAGCCAGATGTTGGACAAGGCCTTTTATGAGGAGGAAGTAAAGAGGCTGTGCCTCTCATTTGAACAGCAGGTACAATTTTTTAGGTTGACCTTATATGTATGTTTACGCAAGTTACTTCATATAAACTATCTCACAGGAATAACAACAGATGGTCAAAATGTAAGAGATCCGATATTGTACACTGGATGCATGCAAGTTCTCTAGAAGGTCACTGGTTTTACACTCTAAAGATTAGCAGTAAACAAGAACTATTGGTAGGCTGATTTAGTCAAAAGCCTATAACACGCCCAGCCACATGCAGTACTGATGCATACCAGCGTGATGCATGCATACATGCTTGTAAAATATGCGCTAACCAGCCACGGCTTTGCACATGATTCTATAGATCCATCGTTAGTCATTACTCTATTTGAAACTTGTGAGTGCCCGATAGTTTTAAAAAAATGCCATAGTGCTAGTGCCTGTTGGTGAGTTTTATTGTCTCTGTGTGCCACTATTTTGGACCTCAACTCTAGAATTGAAGGCGGGAGCTCTGATGTTCTCTTGTTTGTGCAGTTCCACTACGCCGTTTTCTTCGCATACATGAGGCTACGAGAGCAGGAGATAAGGAACTTGATGTGGATCTCGGAATGCGTTGCCCAGAACCAGAAGAACAGGGTCCACGACAGTGTCGTGCCGATCTTTTAATCGCCCTCTTACTGTGCATATGGTTGTACAAAAGGCCTGCTCTGATGATGGCACAATCGATTGCACACTTTACAAGCTCATGATTTGTTATTACCCCTGTTCCTCTTTCTACGCGGCTGAAAAGCTAGACCTGGAGTAGTGTATCATTATTTGTTTTTGTAGTAAAATAAAAGGCGCAGTTGTACGGTAAATTAAATAAATGATGATGTTTATTTTCGTAGTGGGTGGCACTATTTGTGCAGTTTGTTGGCAATGTAAAATGTACACCCAAGATATCAAATGGTTTGTTGGCAAAACTCTCTTACTGCATTATCAAATGGAACTTGTGCAGCTTAGTAAGGACATGGAAATTGTTGGGCACCGTCGTTAACTACTGTGTATTTTCCTAAGCCTCCTGGCTTTGTACCTTACATAAAAAAAGAAATAAATCATGAAAATGCAGGACTATGAAAAATAAGATGGCCATGCGAGTATATTTTACGCATGTACTCCCTTCGTAAAGAAATATAAGAGCGTTTACCAATTTCTTTACAGCGGGAGCAAGTGATAGTACCATTTTATTTTGAAGTTTCATGTATATTTTAGTCATGTACGTACGTGATAGTATCATTAAACTCGTTGACGAGAATTTATTCCTCACGTATATATATTTATCTCGGCAGCTACGGTCGTAGTACATCCGCTTGTATCGTTATTAGGTGGACGCACGCAGCAGCACAACGGACGCTGCATTTACATGCAGTGATCTCTAGTTTCTGGAGAAGAGCCTATGGGAGACGAAGACGCCTAGCGTGAAGGCGGCGACCGCGGTGGCGGCGATCACCTCCTTGTTCTTACCTATGGTATCCGCCCACTTGAACCCCTCCTCGGGCGCCCGCTCCTTCCAGCAGCCTTTCTTCTCCCTCTGCGTCGCCGCCTCATACTCAAGCTTCTCCTTGTGGTCCTGATCATCATCTCCTTTCACCACCTTTTCTGCTGCCTTGGGCTCCTGTTTCCTGTCGTCCACTTTCATGGCCGGGGGTTCCTTGCTACTCGCTGCAGTTTGGTCCTTGGCCGTCTCCTGTTTGTGCCTCCCCTGCAACCTTGCCCTCACCGCCTCGATCAGCCGCTCCGCCTCCTGGCTAACCTTGGATTTCTTATCCGTCGGTTCGTCGCCGACAGCGTCCGAGGCCTCATTCTCACTGGGCGGGGGCGGGGCCGGGGCGGAAGGCAGCTTGGGCACGGTGAGCGTGAGCACGTTGGCGTCGTACCGGCCGGTGATTGCGTCGAGGTCGGATGTGGATAGCAGCTGGAACACCCTGTGCAGCCGCACGTTCCCATCTCCGGCGTCCGCCGTTCTGTGGCCGAGGATGGTCAGGCGGCCCGCGGGGTCCACGTGCACCCGGAAGTCCTCCTTCTTGAACCCTTGATCATCAACATAATGTCATACGTACAATTCAGTAGGTACAGTACAGTACAGCTGCAAAGGTTAATTCGGGTTCAGGGGAACACCATTTCATCCATCTCAGCAGGAATCACGAACGCGCATCGTACGTACCTGGGAGGTTGAGGCGGAGGAGATAGCTGCCGTCGCCGTCGACCCACTCGTACACGGGATCGAAGTCGGCCGCCGCGGCTTTCGCTGCTGACGATTCTGGCCTGCTCGCCATGTCTCTCGCGTGCTACGTTTAACTTGGTTTCCCGGGCCGGGCGATCAAACGGTACCTAGATAGCTAGCTTCAGGCGCGTACTGATCGATCGGGTTGGAGGTGCCACCTAGAGTTACTGCCACGAGCCTCATATATAGCATCATGTATGTACGCAGCGCTTGCCTCCTTGCGCTGGTAACGCTAAACTATTCCAAGCTTTTCTTGAGGGGCTGGTCTGGCACAAGGAAAATTTATCGTGAGGGTCTAGCCTGGGGATCTCCATCTCCTCCTCCTAGTAGACGTGTAACGTGTCTTGGGCTCATTAAACTTTGGGCGCGCGCCAGGGTAACGTCTGTACTAGCTCCGTCCCACCGAAGAAACAAAAGAACTCAAGACATTTTTTAACTTTCTCTCCACGTCTCATACCTCACATAAACAGTTTATCCCAGGTATGACAACTCTTTTCCCAGGTTTTGTTCTTTAGCTTCTTATAAGTCGTTACTAGTAATACCACAACACGCAGCTCCTCAAACAATGTTAGTACTACTAAGCATGCATCCAAGAGGATTAATTACTCACACATCAAATGGATCAACTGGAACAAGGGCATCAATGAATGAATTGAACACACTGTCTGTAACCGCCAATCTGTCACATTTGACAAGATTCACAATAGGTCTTAATCACCAGAAATTATTGACAGGCGCTGATGATCAAATCAAAATAACGAGGAGGTCAAGGCTAACATTTGCCTAGGAAACAGATTATGTGGACAAAGGAGGAATTCAAGATCAAAATGAAAGCACGAAGAGATGACCTGGGGCCATGTTATTCCAATCCAGCAGAACTGAACCTTTTTTTTCAAAACATAGGGTCCCAGCTGTGCATCTCAAGGCTTTAGCACCAATGACAGACCAACTTTTGTGCTCTTCTCAATTGCCTTGGTGTCAACCTCGCCGGAGATGGTAACGAGTGACTTGGCTCGCCATTCATGCTGGACAAGGGCACTAGCCATGCCATAGTTGTTGAAGCGTGCCTTCACACTGGTGTGCGGGTCCAATGAGTGCTGTGATCCAAATATCAATGTGCTCTCGTTCCTTGGGAAGTTGTGGGACAGCTCTGCTCCAACAGCGGTGCTAGAATGTGACTTTACTAAGTGGTAGTAAGACGCAGTCAAGGTGTCACCGTGATTGTTCCTGGATGAGATTTGAAAGTTCATTACCAGAGCAAATGCTATTATAATAGCGATGAAGCACCGCACTTGACACCTTAGTATGGAATCAGATTGCTAATCCACATTATCTATCAATCTTAAAAGAATTGCATAGTAGTAATACATATGATAGCTGCGCATAGAGAAGATACTTACAGGTGGAGTGAGGCAATAAGATCCGGATACGTGAGGCTTAAAGCAGCGTTGTACTTGGTGAAATTGCTAGTTGCCGTGTCAAATGAAACATCAACACCAACTGACAGTTCTTTGCTTCCGAATACACCAGAAAGGTTAACCATAGGGTTCGGGTTCAGCCCAACACTTGCATTGATACCGGCGAATTCATGGAGATACTGGAGTTCAAGCTGTCAAGGCAGAAAAATACAAATTAAATCTCCTATCTCAGTGATCACCATATTGCAGATTAGAAGTTTAAGCAAACGGAGTGGTAAGAAAATTATACCTTCCCTGACCTCTGGTCTGGAACAACCAAACTGAGGATTGATTTCAGCCCTGGAGTTGCAAACTCGTCAACTGTGAATGTTGTCAGAAGCTGGAAGATGTGAAATATTCATCAGCGAATATAAAATCTCAAGAACTGGACATTGCTGTGAATTAATATTATGAGGCATAAAAGAAAAGCCAAATATGTGAGAAATAATATCAAGGAAAAACAGGCAATCAGATGTTTATACATGATTCATGTGAGAGCAAAAGGGAGAGTTGGAGTAAAGGCGGCTTACATCTGACTCTGAGTTTGCTTTGATATCAACTGTCAAGTTCTTGTTCTTAAGCTGGGTCTGAAGCTCGCCAAAGATAGACTCGTTTTTCCTAGTTCCTGCAGCTGTGATTGCCTGTAGGTAAACCAAAATCATTAATATGTAGTAGCGCACAAATACTAGATAGACACGGTTACCGAAACCATACAGGTAAACCAGAACCATCAATATGGAGTGCACAAATCATATCCAGAGACATGGTTACCTAAACCATATACTGATCATGAGTTCATTTCCTGAAGAAATGCTTCGAGTCAAGGAATCAAAGATGCACAATCCAGTGAAGGTGAAAGGGGAAGGGGGAAAGTTCTGGCAGCTCGTTGCGAGAGTGAAGAGACGGTCCCTAAACAAAGATAATATCCTGGTAACACATTAGGGTCCATAGTCTCCCTCCATGGCCAAAACTGAAAACTCTACATGCAGAACACGCACACACGGAATGAGAACAGCTCGACACAGTGGCACGGCGGCGATCTGTGTCGCCAACGGCGGTACAGAGGCACAAAATAGAGATCGGCGGACAACATTCTAACATGCATTTGTACCGTAAGTAGTCGATCAATGTGGGGAATGCGAGGCGGACCGTAACTGGGACACTGCTACGGGACACAAATTTGCGAAATCGCTATGGAAGAAGTGCGAGGGAGAGGATGGCAGTGGTACTCACGACGCCCTCGGGGGTGCATGTGGTGAGGGTGAACTTCTGGTGCGTGCAGTAGTCCCTGTAGAGCAGATCTGCGTGCAAATCATCACATCACAGCATCGTCAAGATCGGCACCGGAGAGGTAATCAGAGGAGGGGAGAGAGACTGGCGGCACCTCTGGTCTTCTTGCCGATGTCGGTGTAGAGGCCCGGAGCCATGGCGGCCGGCGACGGAGACGACGACTTGGGTGGTGGTGGGGAGAAGAGAGCGGGAGAGAGATCGCGGGGAAGCGGCAGCGTCGGGCGGAGGCTGCGGCGACCAGTTAAAATGGAGTCGTGGCAGATCTTGCCCCTATCGTTTTCACTTTACAAAATGATTTTGGATGATTCGTGTGCTCGTGTCGCGTCGTCGCGTGGGCGGGACCGAGCAAGCTGTCGTGGGACCCCGCGTCCAGAACGTGGAGGTGGAGGGACCGATCTCTCTCGATCATCTTTTTTTTCTTTGTCCGGCTCAAAAATCTCTCTCTCTCTTCTCTGCTATTTTAAAAGTAAATAAAATAAAATAAATGATATAGGACTTAGATGTGCAATATTTATGACACATCTAGATGTGCTTTAGCAAAACAGAATAAGGAACTGAAATAGGATGATGAAGGTGTAGTGGAGGCAGAGGATGAGAAAGAAAGTGGCGATGGTGGCTGACTATTTCCAGCAATTATTTTCTTTTTGTGCGTGCATCGGAATTGAGGAGCTCCTCTAACATGTGACCCCTCGCATAACTGATGGCATGAACGCAAGCTCACTCGTGAATACACTACGAAGGAGGTATGTGTTACTCTCGAAGGCATTGGAGTTTGAAGACATAAAAGCTCTCGGTCTTGATGGTATGTCGGTTGTTTTTATAAGAGATGCTGGGATATCGTGGGTGAGAAGGTGACAACATAAGTGTTTAATGTTTTGAATGATAACAATGCTTCAAAGTTGGAATGAGACAAGTGTGGTTCTAATCCCAAGGTAAGGCAACCGGAGAGAATAAAAGACCTTTTTTAACAAGGCAAAAGGCTTGTCATTTCATTAATTAAGAGAAAGAGTTTGAAATAGCGCCCAACAGAAGGCAAGAATAGACCATGACTCTCGCGACATTACAAAACTCACATGCTTAGCGCCCGCGAGCACCCACAATCTAATTTCCTCTTTGATGTTACGCACCACAATCGTAGAGGGCTTCACAGTGTTGCGGAAGACCCCAGCATTGCGCTCCTTCCATAGCTCCCACGAGATCAACATAATTATGGATGAGATGGCCTTCCTCAATTTGTCCCTGGCTTGGGTGACTCCTATCCACAACTCATTGACGATACCCATTAGGTTCCAATCCCGGGATTGGACATCCGAGAGGCTAGGCCACTCCACAATGCAATACTAGACCCTCACCGAGAAATGGCACTGATAGAGAAGGTGTGTTGAAGATTTTTGGGTTCGCTCGGAAAGACGACAGAGCCCAAAGTTGGGCCATCCTCGTCGTCAAGCCTATCTACGGTCAAACTCTGTTTTTTATCACAAACCACACGAAAGAGTTTGCATTTCAGAGGCGCCCAAACTTTCCAGACAACGGTATATAAGGACAAAGCAGTGTACCCCTCAAATTGAGCTTTGTAAGTAGAGGACGCAGAGTACATTCCATGTGATGTGAGCTTCTAAGTGATAGTGTCAGGGACATACGGGACTAACTATACCGAGCTAAGCTTCTTCCACAACAAAGCAAATCATTGTATGTGCGGCGACATGACGCCCAGCTGGGTGTTGATCTGACTCACCCAGAAGTTGTTATGCAAGGCCATCTAAATCGAGGAGTTTCTCTTCTGGAGCACTCAAAAATCTTGGGGGCAATATCTTTGGGACACAGTCCATCTAACGCACCACAAGCACCCACTTAAACGAATCGGTACCAGCCAATCACAAAAGCGCCACATAGCCGAACTTATCTGGAACATTATGTAGAACATTTTTTGTTTAATGAAATTAATTGGCACATTTGCAGAAAACCCCTTGAATATTGAAACACTCACAACTTTTTATCCCTAGATCCAAATTGAGTGAACTTTTTTTCCAAAATGATCCTTAGGAAATGCACTTTCACCTAGAGTAATAAATTTTTGAATTTAAGTAGTTTTAAATTTAATTTCAGACATAATGAATTCAAAATCAAATAGGGCATAATTTGCATTTTAGAAATCCATTTAAATTGATTGTTTTGGAATGAATCTAGTGAGATATAGTTTCAACCTAGCTATTGTATTCAAAATTTTAAAATAATTAATTTTTTTAAATTGAATATATTTTAACAGTGGCTACACTTCAAACAATATTTAGACCTAAATCTAGGTTAACCTTAGAATAAAAGGTGTTTATTAGGTTAAAATATTGCAACTAAATTAAAAAAACTAGAGATGAACTTTAGTAAATATTTTTGGGATTACTATTTGACTTTAGGGAATTTAATTTGAATTAAATTCAACTAGATTGGCTATAACTTTGAAACCATAGGTTTAATTTGAATAAACCTTTGTAATATGACTTAGTGAATTAAGTTGAACCTAGTAATTATTTTGGAGTGATAATTGAATTTAGGGACATTAAACTTAAATTAAATATAGTTCAAACATAGGTAAAGTTTGAAACTTAATGCACTTAAAAAATTATCTTGGATTTATACTAACTTTAGCCTAAACATGATAATTAAACCTTGGCAATGAAGTTGGTTTGGGATTGAATTTAAAGGAAACTTAGAAGTCATTTATTAATCCAAGTTAAATGAAATAATGTTGAACTTAAACCTAGCTTCACTAATTCAAACAAAATGTCAGCTCAAACTCAATTCAACTAGAAATCAAATAAGATGAACCCCAATTCAATCCAAATTGAATTGGAAGCCATGCCAAGTTATTATTTATAGACCTTAGTGTATTCAAGCTCATGAAAGGTCAACAAGTTTGAATTGTTATTGAAACTTGAAGATGGTCTTGGCTATCCAAGATTCATAGACCATGACTCTGTTGTTAAGATTATTTCTGATTGGATTTGACAACACAACCTAACATCACACACTCCTTATGTGATGAACCCTTTATTTGAAACTTGCATGTGAACCCATATGTCACATGTATTCCAATTAACAACCATTATGTTATTATCCAAACTCTTATGAGTTAACTCTGACACATGATCTCAAAGCATAATGACATTGACACCATGCACAACACTCGCCGTATGTTTGATTGTATTGTAGGGTTGTTTATGATTGCTCTTACTTACGTTATATTGTATGAAGAGCAAAGGTAAATCATTCAAGGTTGTGAGATTAAAGAATCGTCAATACCAGGCAAGTGGAACCTTTGAGTTTGACTGACAAGGATCTTAAGCCGTCTAACATTATTTTTCATGGTGTGGTGCCTGGTAAGTCGGTGTCTCCAGTAGTCAAGATAGCTTTGGAGGTGGCCTTTGGTGATGATCATGATTCCAGAGTTGAGACATTGACCTTTGAGGTGGTTAAGATTAAGAGCCCTTATCACGCTTTATTTGGGCGGCCGGCTTATGCTAAGTTCATGGCGAGGCCTTGTTATGTTTATCTATAGCTTAAGATGCCAGGTTATAAGGGTACCATCACGGTACATGGGAACCATAAGATAGCTTTCGAATGTGAAGAGGGCGATGCTGCCTATGCTGAGTTTGTTTGTGCAACAGAAGAGCTAAAGTTTTACAAAGATAATGTTGACCCGGCGGATATGACACCTTTGAAGAAACCAACCATGGAGCATGACCCTCTGTTAAAGTTTAAGTCCACGGATGACACTAAGTTGGTTGATTTTGTTCTTGGCGATTCATCCAAGCAGTTCACTATCAGTGCCAATCTGAATCCAAAATAGGAAAGCGCGCTCATCGAGTTCATCCGTGAGAACCGGGACATCTTTGCATGGAAGCTGATACGTCCATTTTGCATCATGTTTTCTTACTGTTATTTATAATGTTTTATCCATAATAATGCTTTTTGGAGTAATTCTAATGCATTTTCTCTCATAATTTACAAGGTACACACCAAGAGGGAGAATTCTGGCAGCTGGAGATCTGGACCTGGAAAAGCTACGTCAGTGTTGGGTATCGTAGCAGAAATTTAAAATTTTCTACGCATCACCAAGATCAATATATGGAGTAATCTAGCAACGAGGGGAAGGGGAGTGCATATACATACCCTTGTAGATCGCTAAGCGGAAGCGTTACTAGAACGCGGATGAGGTAGTCGTACTCGTAGCGATTCAGATCATGGTCGATTCTGATCTAAGCGCCGAACAACGGCGCCTCCGCGTTCAACGCACATGCAGCCCGGTGACGTCTCCCATGCCTTGATCCAGCAAGGAGAGAGGGAGAGGTTGGGGAAGACTCTGTCCAGCAGCAGCACGACGGCGTGATGGTGGTGGAGGAGCGCGGTACTCCAGCAGGGCTTCGCCAAGCACTACGAGAGACGAGGAGGGAGAGAGGTAGGGCTGCGCCTTGGGAGAGAGAGAGAGACTCGTGTGTTGTGCAGCCCCAAAACCTCCACTATATATAGGGGCAAGGACAAGGGGAGGCACCCTAGGGTTTCCCCTAGGGGGGCGGCGGCCAGGGCAGATGGGATCTCCCCCTTGGGTGACTTGGCCCCCAAGCCAGGAGGTGGGAACCCTAGATGGGGCGCCCCAAAACCCCCCTGGTCACGTGGGAATAGGTGAGGGGGGTGCACATCCCCTTAGTGGGCTGGTTTGCCCCCTTCCCTTGGCCCATGAAGCCCCCCAACACTTGCCGGGGCTCCCGAAACACCTTTCGGTCATGCTGGTCATCACCCGGTACCTTCGGAACACTTCCGAACTCCAAAACCCTTCGTCCAATATATCAATCTTCACCTCCGGACCATTCCGGAACTCCTCGTGACGTCCGGGATCTCATCCGGGACTCCGAACAACAGTCGGTAACCGCGTACATACTTTCCCTATAACCCTAGCGTCATCGAACCTTAAGTGTGTAGACCCTACGGGCTCGGGAATAATGCAGACATGACCGAGACATCTCTCTGGTCAATAACCAACAGCGGGATCTGGATACCCATGTTGGCTCCCACATGTTCCACGATGATCTCATCGGATGAACCACGATGTCAAGGATTCAGTCAATCCCGTATACAATTCCCT